ATTCATAAACATTTGACTGAAATCAGAATGTCTAGGGTTTATCCCAAGCCACCCGACTAAGCAGACGATAGCTAGTTTAACATGTATTTGTCCTAGGAGGAAGTCAATCCAAAGACACAGTTATAAAACTAGTGCAAAGTTGTCAATATATGGCAATGAACATTTTTGCTTAAGTTTTTTTTAAGATTACTTTGGGACTGTCTCCGTGTAACAAAGGAACATTCGTGACAAAAGAAAAATTAAATTCAACCAGGTAGTTAGACGTTAGTGGAAATAACTGTTTCCGAATGCATTAACTCTTTGTTGGACTGCTGGATATACTTTAATAGATCGAATTGTATCAATAAAAGTACAATTATATCAACTTTGCCAACCCTGGAATTTACATACATCGTTGTTTATTGTACAAAGTACCAAATGTGAGTAAGTAGAAGAATCATTATTATGACAAAGTGATGTTGGTTGGTGATGATTGGGTGGGTAAAATTTTTTTTTAAGATCTTTGAGTTGTTTGTGTTTATGCATAAAATATGATCAAAGAACAAACATTTAATTGTATGTATTTATAAATAAATAAAATTTGCTTAAGAATTGTATTGAATTTGTTTAAATTGCTACAGATTTCTAAGACAATTTATAAAGAGGAAATTGATGGCTGTTGAAATGTGTTAGAAATAGACACATTAGTTGTGAAATAAAAATATTTGTTGCATATTTTAATTATTTCATGTTTTTCATATTTTCTAATAATAGCTTTTCATGTAATGAATAATGGAAATTTCTTACAATTTCCTATTACTTAACAAACATTCCACGTTTTCATATCTATTTAATTTCGCTTTAAGAAGTATTCTTTATATTTAAGATATGACAGGCCGGCCGCCTTTATTAAAATATAATTGATTAATTGGGTCAATTTTATAAAAATTTCTTCATACGTGAGTATTTATATTGTCGGGCATGAGTTTTTAAAGGTTTTGAGTACACTCGGCAACAGGGCTTGAAGAATTAACTTTTGATTATTTAAATAAAAATGTAATAATATACTGTGTGGGTTGGATTTTATGCAGAATTCACATGCTTAGAATGTGTTTTTTGTATAGTATAGTCTATAGTCTAGTCTATAGTCTAGTCTATAGTCTAGTCTATAGTCTAGTCTATAGTCTAGTCTATAGTCTAGTCTATAGTCTAGTCTATAGTCTAGTCTATAGTCTAGTCTATAGTCTAGTCTATAGTCTAGTCTATAGTCTAGTCTATAGTCTAGTCTATAGTCTAGTCTATAGTCTAGTCTAAAGTCTAGACTAGTCTAAGTCTATAGTCTAGTCTATAGTCTAGTCTATAGGCTAGTCTATAGTCTAGTCTATAGTCTAGTCTATAGTCTAGTCTATAGTCTAGTCTATAGTCTAGTCTATAGTCTAGTCTATAGTCTAGTCTATAGTCTAGTCTATAGTCTAGTTCTATAGTCTAGTCTATAGTCTAGTCTATAGTCTAGTCTATAGTCTAGTCTATAGTCTAGTCTATAGTCTAGTCTATAGTCTAGTCTATAGTCTAGTCTATAGTCTAGTCTATAGTCTAGTCTATAGTCTAGTCTATAGTCTAGTCTATAGTCTAGTCTATAGTCTAGTCTATAGTCTAGTCATAGCTAGTCTATAGTCTAGTCTTAGTCTAGTCTATAGTCTAGTCTATAGTTCTAGTCTATAGTCTAGTCTATAGTCTAGTCTATAGTCTAGTCTATAGTCTAGTCTATAGTCTAGTCTATAGTCTAGTCTATAGTCTAGTCATAGTCTAGTCTATAGTCTAGTCTATAGTCTAGTCTATAGTCTAGTCTATAGTCTAGTCTATAGTCTAGTCTATAGTCTAGTCTATAGTCTAGTCTATAGTCTAGTCTATAGTCTAGTCTAGTCTATAGTCTAGTCTATAGTCTAGTCTATAGTCTAGTCTATAGTCTAGTCTATAGTCTAGTCTATAGTCTAGTCTATAGTCTAGTCTATAGTCTAGTCTAAGTCTAGTCTATAGTCTAGTCTATAGTCTAGTCTATAGTCTAGTCTATAGTCTAGTCTATAGTCTAGTCTATAGTCTAGTCTAAAGTCTAGACTATAGTCTAGTCTATAGTCTAGTCTATAGTCTAGTCTATAGTCTAGTCTATAGTCTAGTCTATAGTCTAGTCTATAGTCTAGTCTATAGTCTAGTCTATAGTCTAGTCTATAGTCTAGTCTATAGTCTAGTCTATAGTCTAGTCTATAGTCTAGTCTATAGTCTAGTCTATAGTCTAGTCTATAGTCTAGTCTATAGTCTAGTCTATAGTCTAGTCTATAGTCTAGTCTATTAGTCTATAGTCTACAGTCTAGTCTATAGTCTAGTCTAGTCTATAGTTTAGTCTATAGTCTAGTCTTTAGTCTAGTCTGTAGTCTAGTCTATAGTCTAGTCTATAGTCTAGTCTATAGTCTAGTCTATAGTCTAGTCTACGGTCTAGTCTATAGTCTAGTCTATAGTCTAGTCTATGGTCTAGTCTATAGTCTAGTCTATAGTCTAGTCTATAGTCTAGTATATAGTCTTAAAACCTAAAAAGTCTAAAATGAATTTAATATTTTTAAAAGTTTTTTTGTTAAAATTTAAAATCCCAAAATAAATTTTCTGTTGAAATTTATCTTAAAAATAATTTTAAAATTTTACAATTAGTTTTGAGAATTGATGTAAAGATAAATAAAATAACATTTGCGGTGTTTTGTTAAAAACCCTCTTTTTGTCGAAATAAAGAAATTCTGGGAATATATTAAATTAAATAAAAGGGATTTGAAATAAACATTAATATTGTTGTAAATGCAAACAAATTATAGAATTGCAAATAATTTAATAATTAGATTGTTGTCATTAAAAAATGATTAAAATTTATTGTAAAACAAACAACAATGAAGCAAGTTACGTGACAGTCAAATTTAATATTGTCTGCTCTTGTTCCATGATATTTGAAATTATTGTAATTATTAGATGATGTAGCATTTAAATGCGTCAGAACTAGGGATGCCAATCCCGAAATCCCGATCCCGAAAATCCCGGGATTTTTCGGGATTGGCAAATCCCGAATCCCGGGATTTGGAAAATAAATCCCGGGATTTTTTCGGGATTAGGATTTGTTTCAAAAAACTGTTTTTATTTTCTTTTTTGAGCCATAATTTTCATTAATTTGAAAATTACGATCTTATTTTATTTTTGACTCATGCAAAACAAAATTCCGCAGAGCTAATTTTATACATATTTGAACCTTTTATTTTTTAAAGTGGTATGAGTCCATACCACATAGCACATATAAATTTATTTATTCACTTCGTTTTATACCTTACACCACTTTAGTGGGGAGGGTATATTGGGTTTGTGCTGATGTTTGTTACACACAATAATATTGGTCCTATACCTTAAAGTATACCAATCGGCTCAGAATCATTTTCTGAGTCGATTTAGCTATGTCCGTCCGTCTGTCCGTCCGTCCGTGTAAACCTTGTAATCAAACTACAGCAATTTTGAAGATAATTCAATGAAATTTTGCATGATCTTCTATTGTACTAGAGACGGATCCTATTGAAAATGGATAACATCGGTCCAATATTTGACCTAGCCCCCATACAACTGAACCCCCCAAATAGGGTTTTTAAGTTCATAATTATGTTCAATATACTCGTAACTCGACAAAAAGCTGCAAAACCAAGTTCTATACTAGCCTTCATGACCCTGATGTATTTTTTGATGATGCGGCCTCATTTGACCCTAGCCCCTATGCAAAGCCCCCTTCGAAATATGACTTAAATGTACACAATTTTATTCAACAAAAAATAGCTAAATTATATCTGAGGCAACTATAACTTTTTACTTGTTAGCACATTGCAATGTTGGTCGTAGACCGACCCAAAAAGTATACACATTCTGTGTCTGTAAGCTGAAAACACGAGTTAGAAGACTCATTCTATTTGGGCTGCAAATTTGGACCAAAATTGACACAAGAAAACCTAATTGGACCTCCTCTGAAAATCACATTGATGCTGATATTAATATCAATACATTACAATATTTTGATGGTGGGTATTTAATTTCGGCACAGTCGAATACAAACTTTATTTTTCAATACTAGAGGATTTTACATTTCTAACTTTCTACAAATCTGAATGATACCGGTAAAGGTAAATTACCTTGTTCTGAATGCACCTAAAATTTTACATTAATACTACGAATATAATAATATGTTCCAAAACTAATATGTATTTTGAGTAAAATTCCAAATATTTTTCAAAGAATAGGTTCTAAATTGATGTTCGAATAATTGAATTGGTATCTGTTATAATTATTAGTTCACATGGAACAGTATGAGGTTTTAAAAAGTGCTTATGTCTAATTTCGGAACTTGATATTTATTTTTATTTAGGAAGTAAGTATGTATTTAAAAAGTTTCAGAAATTATGCAATTCTGAAAGTTTTTATTTAAAAATTGGAATTAATTGGATTGTTTTAATTTAAATATATCTTCTGTCTGTTAAATTTCCACAAAATTAAACAATTTTCTTTACAAATATGATGATTTAAAGATTTTCATATATAAAATAATTAAATTCATGTAATCCCGAAATCCCGTAAAATCCCGAAATACCGAAAAATCCCGGGATCCCGAAAAATCCCGGGATCCCGAAATATCCCGGGATCCCGGGATTGCAATTTTCAAAATCCCGAATCCCGGGATTTGTAAAAGCCAGTCCCGTTTGGCATCCCTAGTCAGAACACTTCATCAATATGACACTTAATATGTTCATTATTTTATTTCATTTTATTTAAATATTATTTGTTTTTTTTTTTTGTAAATATGAGTTCAAATTAAAAAAGAACGCAGTACAAACATGTCGGAAAGCACATTTATTTAAATATAAATTGTCATTAGTTACAATGAATATTAAATTTTAAAAATATGTATTTAAATATGTCTGAGGATAATTAATAATGATGATTGTTTTTTTTTTTTTAATTTTACAGACACTTTTGTATCAGCGGTTTACAAATCATTTATTACAATGCCACAGAAATCAAAAGGTATAAAACTCTGGACTCCCAATAGTCGTAGAATTTTAATAAGTATTTTGGGTTTTATATTGGGCATTGGCGGCATATTATGTGGCATGTTTTGGGAGCAAATATTCAATAGTATTTTAGCTAAGGTAAGTTCTTATTTACATATTTTATTTATTTTTAATAATATTTTTGTTTTGAAAAAAGTTTAATATATTTTGTTTTGCATTTAATATATTTGTTTATTTATTATAACAATTTGAACATTTGCTAAATTATTTCTAATGATAATAATTTATTTATACAAAAAGTTTTATATTTATGACTAATAACCATTCATGCATTCATTCATTTCAATTATTCTTTGATTAACTCCTTGTTTCTATAAAACTTTAAAACATTTTCGTTCGTAAATGGATATGGAAAACAACAAATGAGGTTTTGTTTTTTTTCTATAGCATAGTTTTAGGAGGAATGATTATATGGTTTTAAAAGTTGCCAAGTTATTGTTATATCATTTCAAAGTAGGGGTAAAGTGTACCCTAATATATTTTATCACTTGAAATCCGGAAATAAAATTTTAAAATTTAAATAATTTGAAATCAAATTATAAACTAAATTTTTTATTCAATTACAGCAAATGGTTTTAAGACCCGATTCAGAAGTATATGACAAATGGAAGACTCCACCAATACCTTTAAGTTTAGATATTTATCTTTATAATTGGACAAATCCAGAGGATTTTAAAAATTTCTCCACAAAACCCATATTAGAACAATGTGGACCGTACCGTTTTACAGAGAAACCCGACAAAGTTGACATCAACTGGCATCCAGAGAATGCCTCTGTGACGTATCGCAAGAAAAGTTTATTTTATTTTGATGCTGCTGGCAGCAAAGGAAGTTTAGATGATGAAATTACCACCTTAAATGCAGTGGCTTTGGTAAGTCTACTACTTGAACAATTTAAAATTAATAAATATTTAATAAAACAATTTTTATTTATTTATTTAGTCTGCTGCTAGTAAAGCCAAACAATGGAATACTGTACGCCGGCGTATGGTGGATATGGGTTTAAAATTGTATGGCCAAGAAATGTCAGTGACGAAGACAGTCGATGAATTGTTATTTACCGGTTACAGTGACGATATGATTGATATGGCCCGTTCCGTTCCTATATTTGGTAATGATGTTGAGGTGCCGTTTGATAAATTTGGCTGGTTTTATACGGTAATATTGTAGAATATAATAATAGTTTAAATAAATTTTAATTATTGTTTATCTCCTGATTTGTAGCGCAATGGTAGTGCTGATCTAACAGGTGTTTTTAATGTTTTTACGGGTGCCAATGATTGGTCTCAATTAGGACAACTGCATAATTGGAATTATCAAAAGCATACCGGTTTTTTTGATTCATATTGTGGTCTGGTTAATGGTTCTGCAGGAGAATTTCAACCACCTAATTTAACGCCCCACAATATAGTACAATTATTTACTCCCGATATGTGTCGCACAATTCCATTGGATTATACAGATACTCAAGAAATTGAAGGTATAAAAGGTTATAAATATTCGGGTGGCTTAAGATCTTTAGATAATGGTAAGTTACTGGAAATGTTTGGATTTTAAATGTTATTAAACAACATTTGTTTTATGAACACTTTGAACAGGCACCTTATATCCTGAGAATTCCTGCTTTTGCGGCGGTCAATGTGTACCTTCCGGTGTTATGAATGTTTCATCCTGCCGTTTTGGTTCACCAGTTTTTATGTCTTATCCACACTTTTATAAAGCTGATCCATTTTATTTAGATCAAGTAGAGGGTTTAGATCCTAAACATAAAGATCACGAATTTTACATGATTTTAGAGCCAAAAACTGGCATTGCTTTAGAAGTAGCAGCTCGTTTCCAAGTTAATATGCTGGTGGAGCCCATACCTTCATTAAGGTAAGTTATATTGAAATAGTTTAAAAGAAATTTTAATTCACTTTTTATTTTCTTATAGTTTGTACGAAAATATACCCCGCATTTTCTTTCCGCTGATATGGTTCGAGCAGAAAGTACGCATTACTCCCGAACTAGCTAAAGACTTGAAAATGATACCGTGTGCTTTGTTGGGAGGTCAAATATTTGCTGGCATTATATTTGCCATTGGACTTATACTCTTGGGCTGGTATCCTCTTAAACAGCTTTGCTGTCTGGGCAAGAATAAGAAAATGAAAATAAATCACTTAGAAAATGATAGTTGTAAATCGAACGAATTGAGACCACTACAGACGAAAAAATTTCCGGCCAAACCACATACACCAACACTCGATGGATCTCCCTTATTAGAAAAACCTGCCAAAATACCCACCATTGTTTCAAATTCAAATACTGATGATAGCCTAAATACGACTTCAACAGCGTTAAGTGATAAAACCAATTAATACTAAGATTTTAGGTAAAAAAAAAACGAAAAGAAATTGAAATTATTATTCAAAATAAGGACAATAACAAACATTCTAAAAAGAAAATAATTAGAATATTTTTTTTTCTAACCTAAAAATTACTTTCTAAAATTTGTACCACAAATTAGGTTGCTATACCTTAACAATATTTTTTACTACTTATACACAACTTTACATCCATAATAATTGTTGTTTCTAGGATCTCATTTGAAAGTTAAATACTTTCATTTGTTCCTTTCCATTATATTCTTGTGATATAAAAACCAAATACATGAGATCGCTAAAACTGTAAATTGCCTAGAAATATACACATACATATGTATACAACAAATATGAATAATTTTAACATTCCTTAAATAAAAAAAAACATATTTTCTAAGCAAAATTTCCAGTTAGTGCCAAACTCCAAAATATTATCAAAGGGTGTGACCGACTCTAGAGTCCTTTTGTTTTATCATTACTTTTTTAAATTAAATACTCTATAAATAAGAATATTTATATATCTAGTAATATACATTATGAAGAATTGTATATCATTATTTTTTACCATTGTTGATTTTATTATTAAAATATATATATATAGATTTTATATATTGTAGTTATTATGTAAGGACAACAGAAAAATTAATTCATTCATGCATCATTTTTTTAAACGTTTGTATTCAGTATTTTTTTAATCAAAACCAAAACAACATGAAATTATCTTTAGAATTTTATCATAGAATAGAAAAAATCAGAACAAATTTGAAAAATTTTTATAATGAAATATTTTTATACGTACACATTTTTGGATTACGATAAAATAAAAATTTTGAAAAGAATTTTAAATAAAGTTATGTGTTGCATTATTTCTTAAATTTATTAAAAAAAACATATCTCAAAAACTAATTTGCATTTCATCTTTTTGGGTTTACTTAACATGAACAAATTTTAAAATGTTCAATTTATAATCGAATGTTTGGCAAGAATCAATAGACTTTTAAATTAATTTTTAAAACTTTTATCCCCATTTTCTCATTGTCTGGTTATAGACAGATAGATTGACAGTTTTCATACAAAAATTAGTGTAACCGGCAGAATATCTACTGGTTAAATGATAACCGGAGATTGAGATAATGGGCCTTAAGCTTTTAACTCAAAGCTTTTTCTTTAATTCAATGCAACACTGTTAATGCTAAATACAACATTGTAGTTTTTTCGTTACATTTTGTTAAAAATATTTTACATCTTGTGTTTGAAAATACAAAAACAAATTATATAAAAAATTTATTAAAGCTACTGGAAGAGATTTACCAAATAACGCTTGTACTCAACTAAAACTGAACTAGAAATTTACAAACTTACAACCCTTATACTGAACTAAGAATGAACTAGAATTTAAACTAGAACTGAACTAGAACTGAACTGAACTAGAACTGAACTAGAACTGAACTAGAACTGAACTAGAACTGAACTAGAACTGAACTAGAACTGAACTAGAACTGAACTAGAACTGAACTAGAACTGAACTAGAACTGAACTAGAACTGAACTAGAACTGAACTAGAACTGAACTAGAACTGAACTAGAACTGAACTAGAACTGAACTAGAACTGAACTAGAACTGAACTAGAACTGAACTAGAACTGAACTAGAACTGAACTAGAACTGAACTAGAACTGAACTAGAACTGAACTAGAACTGAACTAGAACTGAACTAGTACTGAACTAGAACTGAACTAGTACTGAACTAGAACTGAACTAGAACTGAACTAGAACTGAACTAGAACTGAACTAGAACTGAACTAGAACTGAACTAGAACTGAACTAGAACTGAACTAGAACTGAACTAAACTGAACTAGAACTGAACTAGAACTGAACTAGAACTGAACTAGAACTGAACTAGAACTGAACTAGAACTGAACTAGAACTGAACTAGAACTAGACTAAACTAAGAGACTAGAACTGAACTACTAGAACTGAACTAGACTGACTAGAACTGACTAGAACTGAACAGAACTGAACTAGAACTGAACTAGAAACTGACTAGAACTGAACTAGGAACTAGACTGAAACTAGAACTGAACTAGAACTGACTAGAACTGAACTAGAACTGACTAGAACTGAACTAGAAACTGAACTAGAACTGAACTAGAACTGAACTAAACTGAAACTAGAACTGAACTAGAACTGAACTAGAACTGAACTAGAACGAACTAGAACTGAACTAGACACTGAACTAGAACTGAACTAGAACTGAACTAGAACTGAACTAGAACTGAACTAAACTGAACTAGAACTGAACTAGCAACCTGAACTAGAATAACTAGAACGAACTAGAACTGAACTAGACTGAACTAGAACTGAACTAGAACTGAACTAGAACTGAACTAGAACTGAACTAGAACTGAACTAGAATTGAAACTAGAAGTGAACTAGAACTGATCTTGAACTGTACCTATTAACTAAACGATTTGATCCATCTGAAGGGTACGTCTAAGTTCAATAATATTTATATATATTCGTACAAATAACAAATTGTTATACATACATATGTACGTATGTATGTATCTATGTATGTATGTATTTCGGAACACACATCTCTGAAAAGTAGTTTGTATCTGGAAAGACAAACAACAAAACAAAAGAAAAAAGAGGCTCGCCTTTGAATTTAAACCAAAACAAACCGGCTTCCAAGTTGAAATATGTTTTACTAACCAAAGTACAACACAGCGAAGCACAGTAGTGCTCGACCTTAATGATCATGATTACGATTACACGTCATGATCACTACAAATATAAAATGAAAAAAGAAACAAGTCATTGGAATGTGCGTATGTCTTTAATGTTTTCTCTCCTGTTGCAGAAACAACATTTAAATTTATAATAAATACGACTAATAATCAGGTTCACAATTTTTTTTCAAAGAGATGCCAGAGATTGTGGGTCTTCGTTAGAAAAGTGGGGAAAGTAGATTGTATCTATGAAGAACATTTTAAAGATTTAACATAACTAAAAGATGAACTTTGAAAATGTAAAGAAGTTTGGTGATTGGAAAAACACAAATTCCAATTTGTATAAATCAATACTGTTGGGCATCCCTGGTGTTCAATGTGTATATTGAATGTATGTAAGTATAAAGTTGCAACATTTAAAAATAGTCAATAGTTAGTCGATGTCCATCTCTATATTTAACTATCGTTAGCAAACTTGTAAGCTTGATTAGTATGCCGATGTTGTATCGCCATGGATTGGTATCGTGGCGTTGCAATAGTATTAGTATGATCATAAGTCTGTCCATATCACCATCATATATGGGATGCCTGCTGATGATGATGGCGTGGCAATAGTATTAAATATATGTGTCTTATATCTTGGCTAAACAATTTATGCTATTTTCACTCTTTAGATTACATAGAACTGCAAGAATTACACATGTGTGTAGATATAATTTTAAACAAGCTAACCAATTTAGATTTTAAAAATAGAACTAGAATTTTTCCAACTGATATTACTTCTTTATTTATATCTCTTTAAAATGCAATTCAAACTTAAAGATGCCACTAAATTGTGTATTTGAAATGAGCTAAGTCGTGTTTAGAGGCAATGAAAGTGAAATTAATTTCAGGTTTTAATTTATTGAAATTTTTTTAAAAAGAGATAAATGATAAATGTAATTTTTATTTAAAAATTTCAGGTGGAACAAGTACAGTGTCATATGACATATTATTAAAATGTCCTAATATGCCAAAAATTATAATTGATTAATATTAAATTAAAATGTTGATACAAATTTTATTATTTGAAATGGAGCAAGTTCCTTTAGTTCAATCACAACATGCAGAATGTATAGAAAGTGTCATTATTGACTTCTAGCCCATTACCATCATGTAAAATGTTACAATTAAAACTAATGAACCAGTTACGAGTCTGTTTCTATTTGGTTTAAAAGAATTAAACTAGAACATGTTACAGCAAATGTTCTGTATTAGATACAGATTTTTACTTCCCCTTGAGGATGATAAGGTAGGTGAAGGGCGTTTAAAATTCGTCACAACTTAATATATCTGATAGCGATGAACAAACTACACGAGCCCCCAATGAATATATACATATGTACATTTATATTTTAAAATAATTATACTAAAGTACGCACACACAATCAAAATGGTGACTAAACTTATTTTAGACGTTAATGACTGGTACTTTGACAACCCCTTCAGCCGTTTTAACGCCCACTTGTTCTTTTTTTTTTGGTAAAGTCACCACATTTGAAAAAATTATTTCCAATTTTATCTTTTTTGGAGGTCAGGATTTTACACGAGCCCCCAATAGTGATGCTGAAAATATTTAGTCAGTTATTACGTTTATAAACCAAAAAATGTTTTTATTCTTTTTTCATACTTTTGATTGTATCTCCAAGTAAATATGTAAATCCAATAATAGAACGATTGTGCTTACGTCTCAAACTGATTTTTTTAGTGTGATATTTTTATTTATCCTTAAATGGAAAAAAATCGTGCAGATCGAGTTGTTGAAAGATTAATATAATAATTGCAATATATTTTCTTGCTGAACCATTAGGAATATTCCATTAATACTGAACTGAACTAGAACTGAACTAGAACTGAACTAGAACTGAACTAGAACTGAACTAGAACTGAACTAGAACTGAACTAGAACTGAACTAGAACTGAACTAGAACTGAACTAGAACTGAACTAGAACTGAACTAGAACTGAACTAAAACTGAACTAGAACTGAACTAGAACTGAACTAGAACTGAACTAGAACTGAACTAGAACTGAACTAGAACTGAACTAGAACTGAACTAGAACTGAACTAGAACTGAACTAGAACTGAACCAGAACTGAACTAGAACTGAACTAGAACTGAACTAGAACTGAACTAGAACTGAACTAGAACTGAACTAGAACTGAACTAGAACTGAACTAGAACTGAACTAGAACTGAACTAGAACAGAACTAGAACAGAACTAGAACTAGAACTGAACTAGAACTGAACTAGAACTGAACTAGAACTGAACTAGAACTGAACTGAACTAGAACTGAACTAGAACTGAACTAGAACTGAACTAGAACTGAACTAGAACTGAACTAGAACTGAACTAGAACTGAACTAGAACTGAACTAGAACTGAACTAGAACTGAACTAGAACTGAACTAGAACTGAACTAGAACTGAACTAGAACTGAACTAGAACTGAACTAGAACTGAACTAGAACTGAACTAGAACTGAACTAGAACTGAACTAGAACTGAACTAGAACTGAACTAGAACTGAACTAGAACTGAACTAGAACTGAACTAGAACTGAACTAGAACTGAACTAGAACTGAACTAGAACTGAACTAGAACTGAACTAGAACT